AGATAAATTTGTATTATGATTGAAAAATTAATGTTCCTTGTATGTGTGCAATTAGATAAATTCTGTGTTATATTAATAAATAAAAATATTTTATTATGTATGTTCCTTTATGTTAATTGATATAAAACTGAAATAATTTTAATATTAAATATAAATAGTGAATAAATTTTGTTATGTAATAGAGATGAAAATAATGGAAATATATATTACTCCAATAAATAAAATCATTTCACGTTTAATATTTTATGTACGTTTTTTATGATACATACTAAATATGAAGATAAAACTCATGAAAATAATATCAGTACAAAAAAGGAGGAGTAATTTTGTTCTCTAACAAAAATACAAATCATGAAATATATACTAATAAAGATCTTTGAGACAATGAAGCATCTTGTGTATTCGATTATTATTCACTTTTGAAATTAACATTGGTTTTACCGGTTGTAACCGCAACAATAAAAAGAACATTACTTCGATGCACTTTATAAAGAATCGACCGTCCAACCGTATGAGAGATGAAAGATTTAATGATTGCTTAGTTACTTTTATTGAGAAAAATATATTTGATAATGTAGATAATGAAAAAATAATACATCATATTATATTTGATAATGTAGATAATGAAAAAATAATACAACACATCACAATATGATGCCTAGAAAGGAATAACTGTAAAATTTATTTTTAACTTTATTTTTTTTGTAAGAATTGATATTATAATTAAAATAATATTAGTATATTAAATTCTTTTGTGTTGTTAATATATGTATATGTCCATCCTCAAAAAAAATTTCTGGATCAACCACTATATATATATATATATATAATTTTTATTCAATAAAATAATAATTTAATTGAAAAATGTAAAGATATATATTATTATAATTATGCATTAATATATAAAATATTATATTATTATCTCTGATCAAATTAGATCTAATAATCATCATACTTTACTATACTCAATCTGATTTGAATCTAACTTTTTGAAAATTTAATCTTATTGAATCAGATTAAATTAGAAGTCATAGAATGTAAATTAAATTAGCATCCCAGAAAAGAGAGTCGTAAATGGTTTTTTGGTTTTCATGCAGATCCCTAGGTTATTTTGTTGTAAAAAAATATGCATCCCATGTGTGGTGCATTTATTGGCCTAGTAAGTAGAGCAAATGAGTCTTCTTGTCCTGTGCTTTTGGTATGGTGTTGCCACCTTTTCAAGCGGTTGATATCTTTGCACTTATGGTTGTCATGTTTTCTTGTTTATTTGCAGGGTTTCTGGTCGCTAATCATGTCTTGGAACCTAGATGGAGGGGGGAAGGTGAACAGAAACCAATGAGAACCGAGGGGAGCATTGTCCAAGGTGTTGAAAAAAATCGATAATTTTGTAGTTTTGAATGAGAAATTGATTTAAACGTTGAGGAAAATGTGAAACTAATTGTTGGTTCTTAAATGTGCAATCATGCACGATGTGGTAACATGAATGTCCGAACTAATATAACTCTTTGTGGGCTTGCAAATATTTTAATCCAAATGTGAGATATTTTCCTCAAATTGAGAATATCCTTTCAAAATCTATTTTAAAATTAAAATGATAAATATTAAAAGGTTCTTTTAATCAAAACATCAATTTTGGAAATTGCTTAATTGTTTGATTCTCATTAATGTTTCATTAGGTAAAAAAATTTCAATTGTTCACAATGTGAACTCCCTATAAATACCATGTTAATCTACTAGATTAAAAAAATAAAAAACAACTCAAAAACCAATTCAAATGAATTTTTTCTCTCTAGTTTTTTGTGATAGGTGAAGACAATGAATAGTTTGTGATCTCGGCAGTTGTACTACTGTGCGCTGATCATCTTGTTGTTGTATCATGGGAGACAGACGACCAAAGATCTCGAGCATCAATGAGTGAATGAAAATATATTTTAAGAAAACTACGTAATTGCATGACTCAACTTATTTATATTCATATATTTATGATTTTCTATTCATATTATTTAATCAAATATTTTTCATGTTATTAATTGTGTTTGTTTTATTATTGATTAATGTACACGAATTTTACGATGAGATCCTGCCGAGGAATTGAATGTTGTTTGCCGCGACTCGTATGAATCACCATGGAAGCAAATAATGATCTATAAAGTATTTGATTTTTTTTCTTTTTGTCTTTGATTGTTATACCTCTATCAATCTTAAGACATGTTCTATCTTCTACATTTTTGAAAAAATCCGAGACGATTCGGAAATATTGGAAAAAGTGTGAAAAACAAATAAAACCGTTTTTAAGATTTATCATGTCGTTTTAACGGGTTTGCTAAAAGTGGACAAATCTATTTAAATAAAAATTGTCATTAAAGTAACGTTGGTTACTAAGTTTGAAACGTTGTTTTTGTTCGATAATAAAAATCGAAAATAAGAGAGATTGATTTGAATCTGCGCAATGATATATGAACTTTTTGTAAATTGTTTTGCAAGCTCACGTAGGAATCAACTTTTGTAAATACAAAAATAAATGTGATTAGCGCATGGTGATTTGGCTTTTTTACAAATAAAATAATAAATGTGATTCTTTAGTTATGGAAAAAAAAAATAAAGTTTCATATGTGGTTATTGCCTATAAATGTAGAGATATTATTGGAGAATATCCTTATGATATGATTTCGCCCATAAAAGTGCACGTGATTAATCATGATATAATTTTTATGGTATTATTATCATATAACCTTTTGCCTATTAATATGGAATATTAAATATGACATGAATAAATAATACATTTGGTATTTATAATTATTATTAAATGTTATAATAATTATTGTTTGTGTTTTTGGAACCAATATAAATTTTATTATTGTACTAAAAATTTCTTTTGAGAAATTTTGTAGATACAAACGGATTTAAAGTTAATCGAAGGCTTTTGATTATTGGGTTGTCAAAAGTAAAATCAAATAATTAGTTCCTTTTTATTATTGTGTTGCTAAAAGTAAAATCAAATGATTAGTTCATTTCGATTATTGAATTTCCAAAATTAAAAATCAAATGATTAGTACATTTTGATTATTGGATTGGTAAAATTAAAGGATTAATTCCTTTTGATTGCTAGTTGTTAAACAGAATCGAGTTGTTGTGATATATTTGTTTCGGGTTTTAATGTTACTAATCTCGTCGGTTAACAGAATAAAAAAAAATTACTTGATTTATTTTTCGTTAGAATCTTGTGTTGATTCTAACTTTGTAAGAAAAATATATTGTTGAATTTATTTTCTTAAGAATCTTAAATGATTCTAACTTTGTAAGGCAAATACCTTTGAAAATTTTAACTTTGTAAGAAAAAATAAATTGTCAAATTTATTTTCTTGAGAATCATGGATGATTCTATCCTTTAAAAAATTATTAAACTTATTTTCTTAAGAATCTTAAATGATTCTATTTTGTAAAAGTTAATAAATTGTTAAATTTATTTTATTGAGACCATGGATCTCCATCTCTTCCTCTCCCGATTCCCGATTTCCCTATGTTTGGTGGAAAGGAAAGTCGGACAAAGATGATCCTGTTGTAGCCATTTTCTGATAAGGGGCGTGATAAAAAGTTCCATCCTTCTTGATTGCATCAATACTCGTCCAGGTTTTCTTGCCCAGAGAACTCACTTATAGAAGAGCTTAGCTAAAAAGCCACTTTAAGAAGAAGGGCTCCAACTTTTATTTTTAACCATGGAAATCACGGGACGATTCCAAAGTTTGATTCAGCATTCAACAGATAAAAGTACAGCCAAGTGCACTGCAGCCCGATTTAAAATTCCGAAGCCTAACCGACACGTTCATCGTTTTGTTCTACAAATTCACTCGATATTCATCAACGAAAGAAGAAAACAATGGCGGTTAAACATAAAAAGGTGATTCTTGACCCTAAGCACCACAATCATTGTTCCTACAGCATATGATAAAACTTTAGAAATGAGTAAACTTAAATGCCCAAAAGATAATTGAATTGATGCTCGTCCACATTTGGCTATTAGCATTGGGAATGCAATTCGCAACATTTAATACAATAAAATAAAAATCAGAATTATAATAAACTACGTTAAGAATTAGTCGCTGGCTTTTACCCTTCAAATTAATCAATATACTGAACGAATATTAAGCAATGATGCCATAGGCAACACAGAATACATAGTCGGGTGGGAAAATCATGATTTCACTTGTGAGGATATTTCAGGCTCATCAGGTTGTGCAGCTAAAATCCAACCATCATAGAGAATACCCCAATTTAAGTACACCATATGGACACCCCGACTCCCCAAGAGAAAAAGGGGAAAAAACAGTAAACAGACTCATGAATAAAATCACCTGGATCTAGATGCAGATACTAGGAAAGTGGAAAACAAAACCAAGTTCAGAATTCAAACTTTCCGACCAAACACAAGTAGAAGACTTCAAATTCATTCTTGCTTGTCAATCTGAATGACCAAAACATACTGAAATATAGTAAGTAAACACCTTGAATCTTCCAAAATCTTTCAATTTTTTAAAGTATGAAAGGAAATTGGATCTATAGATTAGCAATCCCTCTTGCAAGGACGCTAAAACATCAACTTCAGTAGAGCAGATACAGGTACCTGACAGAAGCATTTGATGCAGCTCCGCACCCATTTAAGCTAAAGTGAAGAAATGCCATTGGTGATGAAGGTTAATCCAGCAGGAGATTCATTCAGAGGCAACAACAATCAAGTACTGAATATCCCATAGCCAGGCAACAGAGACATGTAAATCCCTTAGGCAAGGAAGCAGAAAAGTAGAGGCAGACCCAGAAGATATCAAATGGGACCCACAATGATCAAGTATTGAAGATCTCATATCCGGGCAACAAAGAAGTAAATCCTTTAGGTGTAGAAGCAGAAAAGTAACAAGGCAGACCCAGAAGACACCTCAACAGAAAAAAGAAAAGCATGAATATTTTAACAGAGTTCTGGGAATGATCTCTCGATAACTTTTTAAAGGTAAGCTTAAGCCTCTTTTTCCTAGGCATAAAATAGATTACGCTTTAGCATAGATAAAGCAGACAAAAGCATCATAAACAAAAGAATGACAGAAAGGAACTTATCCAAATCCAAGAGGCTGAGGGCGTCACCCAATTTAAAATAGTAGCATTGATGTCCAAACAAACTAAACAAGCTTAAGCCCAATCTCTACAACAAAAGTTAAATCCTTGTGCTACTTAGCTTCTACTCCTTCGGCGTTCCCCCGCACCATTTCTGCACCAAATTTGGTATCAATATATTACAAACATATACCATAATCCAAAACCACAAAAACATAAAATTGAACAGAGATAGGCATGGCTTTGAGCATGATAAAAACTGGAACTTTATTTATAAGTGAAAAATATTGCAATAAGAAGCCTTTCCAGCTACTAGAAAAAGTTCAAGGAAAATTACCCATTAGCATATGACAATTCCTCACGACCACGATATGGTGGAGACTTTCTGTAGCCATGTCCATGAGGAGAGGGACTACGACGTCTAGGAGATCGGCCACGAGGACTGTAGTTTCTGCTTCAAATTGGTAAGTTTCAATCAATCAACACAATAGCGATCAATGTTTGCTTAGGAGGCCTTACCTGCATCCATAGCTTGGGCTCCTACGATATCTAGGGCTGCGGCTACAATGTCTTCCTGAACCACCACGCGTGTGACATTCACGAGCAAAATGACCAGGCTCACCACACTGATAGCACTTCAAATCAGAACCTCCTCTTCCACCTTTTCCTCTAGAATTATGAGAAAGCTCAACTCTCCAGCTATTCTTACCTGATCCAAATTCCAAACACATTGACTTTTAAAGTTGGTAAAGAACGTTTATCTCAAATGATTAGCTAAGTTCATTAAATATGCCATTTAGAGGGGGAAATAGAAGCTTCCTGAGTAGATGGTTCAAATTAATGCATAATACTAAACAGTAAAATGTGAAAAAATAAAAAGATACGAAAAAGAATGACAAAATCAAATAGCAAGTATAATTCAGGAGGGCCCCTTCATATGAACGACAATACTAAAAATTACAGCTATAATTTAAAGCACGGTTGTGATCAAAACAGTGTACACGAATTTCCTCTGCCAATGTATACATGCAGCTGTAAGCATTAGAAAAGCACATTCTTCATAAAGCTCATATGCAAAAGTAGTAACGTAAAAAGGCATATCAAAATCAAGATTTTCATCATAAATCCAAATTCATGTCTATAAATAAAGAAATAGAAGCTTCATAACTATGTGCTTCATATCAAAATCTTTTTTTAACAAAAGATTCAAATTTGGCATCTTTCAGTTTCAATTAGAAATCATTATCAAAACTATGAAGATGTGGTTGGAATTCTGTCAAATTCACGAATTGCGTCTTTAGCGTCCCTGTGATCATCAAACTCAATGAAAGCATAACCAGGCGGCCTTCGAGCAACCCATACACTGTCAAAAAAAAAACTTAGCAAACCAAAAGAAAACAATAGATGGAATTACGACTAGTAGTTTATACCCAAAGGTAGAGAAGTATCGCGTATCACATAGCAGTTCAAAAAATGAAAAAAAAAGTAAGTTGCAACAACAACATTATACCTTCTAATAACCCCGAAGACACGAAACTCGTCTTCAAGATCCCGTTCCGAAACCCGTGGGTCAAGGTTACCCACGTACACGCGAGACATTGCTTTGAAAGTTATAAAACATTTTCAACGTTATTCAAGTTCAACAAAGAAACAACTAGATTGTTTTGCATATACTCTCTATTTATTAAATTTAGAAAAGAGAAAGAAAGAAGTGAAGTCGGAACCTGGTGACTGCACAGAGGAGGAAACAGCGGCTACCGCCTTTTGGGTCGTCGGGGGAGATTAGGGATTTTGAATTGATGAAACGGCAAAGTTAATCAGCTTCAGAGAGAATTAGGATTAGCAAGCCGGCGTACTTCCAAGGCTTACCCGCATATCTTACTTAATCCAGATTCAGATTCAGTGGAAAGCCCATCTAAGAAAAATATAATTTGGATCCATTATGGTTGAACAAAGCCCTTACTGATTGAGTAAAAGAATTTGAGAACCCATTCGAATCGTAATGCGATTGTGTTAATTGTTCATGATTTATATATATTATATATGATTATAAAAAGATGATTAATTTAGAATCAATTAATAACATAATATTATAAATATTTAAAATAATTCAACTCAACTCAACTCGAAAAAAATTTCAAATACAATTTAAATTACAAAATAGAACTCATCAATTCAACTTACTTTGAATTTTTTAAAATTTGATTCAATCTAATGATCACCTCAACCTAAACACTTATATATATATATATATATATATTTATATGTATGTATATGTGTGTTGTGTACCTTGTGATTAATAATGAGTAGTTATTTTTTTAACTCGTATTCAAGAGGAGGTGGCTCAAGCTTCTTATAAGCTGTAAAAGTGTGGGTTTCTAATATGCAGGTGACTGAAGTGATTAAAAAGGCCATGCGGCTTTACCCAACGGCAGAATTCGTGACGATGCACCGGAAGAGACTCGAATCGGGAACATTTTGGTTCCAAAAGGGGTATGCATTTACTTCTCTCTAAATGCATTGGTTAACGTTGCTAGTTTATCTTCTTAATAGATTGAGATGTGGGAACCGAATGTGTCACACCCTGAAATTGGGGTAAATAATTTTTAGAGATCAAATTGTGTGATTCTCAAAATTTTATAATAATTTTTGAAATTCCTGAAAGTTCAAAGACCCAAGCATGAGATTGTCCCTCCCTTTTAGTGATATTAATGGAAAACAAATTAAAACAAATAAGTGTTTGGTGGGATTGAAACCGTGTCCTGCAATAATGGAGCCATGCTTTTGTCAACTAGTATAGGGTCCTATTTAATACTAAATTATTAAAATTATTTTATAAACTATAGATGGCAGTAGCTAATCATCTTCTCCATTAGGGGGGAAACAAAACCAGTACCCAAAAGCCATGAAACTTCACCCTTGTTCGTCACCGGTAAGTTCATCTCCGGTCAGTCATGGCGTGCACCGTCTATATCAGTGAGATCATTGTCGTTTCGCAACCCAATCCTAACCTTCCTCTCATCATGAAACATTATCGTTAGTCATGGAAGAGGTCTCGAAAGTTCATCGGAATTCAAGCCTCTTTCTCTTTTTTTTCACCGATTCGACATCAACCGGATGGTCGTGGCTCCCATCACCGGTGCCATTGAAATCATCTCCTCGTCGCGCCTCGACGTAGTGGTCATCGATGATCTGTCGATGATTCCTTGCAAATGGATGGATGAGTATTCTGTTAGAGAGGAAAATATGAAAAGGGAAAAAGGGTGAAATCACCAAGTTAGTCATCCAGGAATTTGTAAGAACTTAACCTTGTTCATAAGTATTTGCATAATTTTATCTTCAGTTAAATAGTTTAAATTAATTCGATTTAGTCCTTGATTTTAGTAATTAAATAATATAGTGGCTTCACAAGATTTTTAGTTTTAACAATTAGGTCCCCAAATTATTAATTAGATCCTAACAAGTTATTTTTATGGCGAGAAAAATTACTGAAGTCGTATTTGTACGATAGATTATCCATGTTCGTTAGAAAAAGATTGGAAGCTAGAAATCAAGTTGGTGAGCTGGAATTCAAGAGTAATATTTTGGGTTTTGACAACGTCATAAGTTCGATTCCGAAGTCTGTTTGCCAAATTCGAACCCGGTAAGCTGTTTTTCACTATTTTATCACCCGATTCGATCCGTATTTCGGAATTAAGTTTCGTTTTTTTGTAATTTCTGTTAATATGCATCTGAAAAATTATTGGAAGATGATTTCAAGATCAAGAGCGTTTGAATGGAATTTATATGGTCGATCAGTATTGCACGGAAATTGAGGTAATACTTTACTACCTCTTTATGCTTTATGGAACATGTTGATATTGGTAAATGCATGAATAAGATAATGTTGGTCACTTTTGTGGAGTTGATTAATTTATTCACTCGATATGAATGTGGTAGAAATTCTGTAAGTGAATACGGAACGAATGTCTAATATAAGAGATTGAAAGATTGTAAGAATTAAATTATAAGTTTGTGATTAGTGATAAAGAAATCAGCCATGGACTTGTAAATTATATTTTATATCATCAAAGGTTAAATGTTAAAGGTACTTGGATGGGAAATTATGAGAATACTTCTGTAGGATAAAATTACGAAAATACCCTTATATTGTAAGATGATAAGAATTGTCTCTGGAAGTTGGTTAATAACTCTGAAAAGACATATTGATCCGATATAATTACATATGTGCATAAGAAATAATATTTTATTTAAAAAATTTGGATAACTGGTTTTTAACGCCAAAAAGGTTTGCGCAAGATGCTAGAAGTGTGTTAAGGAATAATTTCAAGATCAGAGAATATTCGGGAAAACAATTGACCATAGGATCTTTAAATTATAATTATTTTCGTTAAGAGCTAATATCGAAATTATCTGATTAAGAAATTACGAAAATGCCCTTGAGAAGTAAAATAGTCCGAGTTGACCCCAAATGAGAAAGTACTTTGAGGACTTGTACTTAACTCGATTAAGTACGAAATTGATTGTTAAGATCATGACTTAGTGCAGAAAATTTCTTGATATTCCGTTGGTAAAAATCTGAGAAAGCATTTGACTCGAAAATATCAAGTTATGAGTAAGTACCTGAAGAATAATTTATCAGAAGGTGCTCTTTTATCAGAATTGTTCGAAGGGACTGGAATAGATGATAAATTAGAATTAAATAATAAGACCGGATGGAGGGAAAATATTGAAATACCGTAGATTTGTAAAATGACAAAAATACCCCTGCAATAAAAATGACCCAAGAATATCACCAAGCTCATGAATGATTGGATATCCTCGAGCTTTGAAATGAATGGAATAAGACTGAGCATCAAAATGACCAAAATACCCTTATGACCTAGAATAAGTAAATGTATTGGATTAATTTAGTAACCCAAATAAGCATAGGTGTTGGACTACCTTTAAAAGTTATGGAACACAGCTTAAGTGAGTTGATCAATCGTAATGATATGTCAGTACCTGGACGACATATATATTACTTGAATGTGTGTTCATGTTCTCAAGTGTGGCTTGATGATAATTTTGAAAGTATTTAGCTCAGTTAAACTCTAGATCGCATTCAATATTAAGAAGTGGATATTCATTAGACAAATCAACTACGACTACCAAATTGAATTGAACGGAAGTGCAATATGTATATGAAATTCATAAGTCTGAATTACTATGGAAAACCCTGAAGTAACTATAAAGGACTTGACTGCTAAATGAACTAAGTAACTCAAAGACTGAAGATTAAGTAAAAGATTGTAATAAGTTTGGAAACTCGGATGAACTTATATGATGTATCGTCCCTATGAATTATAAACCACAAATCAAGTACGTCAGCATTTCCTGGTATACTTGAAACATGGAAATGAAGTAAAGACCATTAAAATATTTGTTTGTCTCCTTAAGATCTATTCAATGATGACTCAAAAGATGATATGTGGATAAGAATATTTGTATTAAAGAGTAAATACCATGGAAGGTTAAAGAATTGACAAGTTGATAAGTATTGGTTATGGGGAGCTATTCATCTGGAGTTGTTCGATAATCGGATTAATCATTATAGATTGTAAAGATTCTGAATACCTTCAGATTTCGTAGAGCTTCAGAAAAGTGTCTGAATAAGATGATCCCGATAAATCATATCATGAATAACTGATGATTCTGTCAGTTAATGAACTTTTCAAATAGTGATTCTAACTTCCGACATTCTATCGGTAAACTGAAGATTTGTATTTCTCTACCCGATAAGATTATCTAATATCTCTAAATAATATCCATAAACTCTGGTGTGTTCCCTACTCACATGAATATTTTATCTGATTTTCGATTTGAATTCTGATCTGATATTTGACATGGATTCTGATATGATATCTGACATGAATTCTGATATGATACTTGACTTGGATTCTGATCTGATACTTGATCTGGATTTTGATATAATACTTAACCTGATTTATGTTTTGATTTTTGATATATCCGTTTACGGACGAACATATTTTACTTGGGGTAATGTTGGAAGAAGTATACCTGGAGGCTCATCGGCTGTGTGCTCAGGGCCTTACTTATTGGCTCCTCGGCTGTGTGCTCAAGGTCTTATTGGACTTGACGGTGGGTATATGGTTCTGGGGAACCTACACATTTTGGACTTGACGAATGGGGATATATATATATATATATGTTTTAAAAAGATATGAAAAGTTACATGATTTTTGGGAACACACTAGAAAACCTATTCTGATCCCCTGAACCTAAACATCCCAAATATTTTCCATCAGAACTGAATACTACATGTTAATACTTGAAATATCAATGGGACCTCAACTCAGCTAAAGAAATTTGTAGATATCTGAACCAATGAGGAAATATATGTTTATTTGTATATGCACGTTCTTCAGCATCATCTAGTAATTCTGTATTACTGAGCTTTCAAAAGTTCACTCTGTTACTCACCTTTTCAGGTTAAAAGAATCGTACCATTGCATCTATCGACATCAGTAAGGAAGATCTTCCGGTGTTGCTTGCAGAGTATGGTACCTGTGATTAGGGGGCATGTAATTGTATTTTGTTTTATATACAAGTCTGAAAATCTGTTTTATTTCGAATATTGATAATTTTTATTTTGTACTCATAAATGATTTTATGAGTTTACAAGTTTTAAGAAAAATTTTAAAATTTCCGCTATTTTTACCGTGGGTCGCTCCAATGGCCCTAATATGACAACCCATATCGGATCGGATTACCCGTATCGGTCTGGGGGTTACAGAATGCACTGAAGTCCATCTGTTAAATAAAGGTTAGATTAGATGGGAACAAATTGTAAGTGAAAACATATGCCAACTATGTACATAGAAAGAACACTACTTAAAAAATGCAGCATTTCTGTTTGTGTAGTATAACTTGTAGACAAATCACTTGACTACAGTAAGCATCATACAACCTTCGGTTGGTTCAAACTGAATAATCCTTATACTATGTCCGAAATAATTGTAACAAGAATTTTCTTCTCCTTATTGGACATAACCAAGCTACCTGAGGAGTGCATGCAAATAAAAACGGCAAAATCACAATTGCCTGGTTGAGCTAAAATGAATCAATGGATCATGTTCAGAAATTCGGGAAAATTGGTATTGGAGCCAAGTATGCATTTCAAGCAAAATCATGGTTGCCTCTCCTTGCTGAACTTTTTTCACAAAATCAACGGGTAGCCTGCACAAAAGCAAGACCATAAACTCAAGTATGAGAAGCATGGTCTTGTAAGAAAACAGGACAGAAAATCAATAAACAAGATGGAATATGAGAATAACGCATGTCCCATACAGGATTTACAGGTATATATCATTGAGATATGGCGAAAACCGGGGATGTTAAACATAAACTTGTCCACAAAGCACAATCATACAACTACATGAAATAACTACTTATTGGAAAAGGGCCACTAACCACATTGACTTGTCAAAATACAAAAGCTGCCAACAATGTATGCAATACAGCCCAATAGATCATAATGCCAAGTCGTAAGGCTGGTTGTCGCATGAGAGCCCGATCACAAGAAACCCTGGCACATTACATAAACATAGTTACGTGATGAAAAGCTTCTTTTGGAGTGTAAATAAATAAATAAATCTCAGTCCAAATGAACTTTGCACTACTTTAGATGAAAACAAACTGAAGAGAAGAAATGACTCCTACCATAAGCCATCTATCATATCGGTTATTGGTCTTGAAAACCTTGGAACAACCCTTGATGTGGTAAGTGATTTGAAACCATGAACTGAGAAAACAAAAATTAAAATGCAAGGATTAAAAGACATGCATTTAATCAAAAGTTATCTTCACGTGAAACAGAAATAAGTATAATGATATAAAAAATTTAAATAGGAAAGGATACCTTTATCTTCGTCTTCGTCTTCTAACCTATTATTATCACCATCATCCGTGTCTATTGGAATAGCAACTTGATCAATATTGACTTTCCGCAAACTACGCACTTGGGATGCTGTAGAGGTCCCTGCTATTGCCCTCTTGTTTATCTACACAGATAGTCAGCAAAATTGATAACTCAATATATGTAAACATATTGATTGTGCTATTGATTGTGCAGAAGCATAACTGATTAAAGTGAACTGGAAAGATCAAAACATGTAACAACTTTTAAAATCATTATTATTTGTTAATGTAACAGACTTCTTTAGAAGCAAAATTATCAAATGCTGATATATTTGCCGGATGAATTTTTATTCTATAGCTTGATCTCATTGCATCTATGTTTGTTTCATGAAACCAGCCAAGATGTCTACCTCCCAGAGTAAAATGTGAGACATTGATAAGAAAATAGAGAAACAGCAAACTGTTAGATAGAAAATAGATTTCATGGCTCGCATCTCAGTTTTGTCCATCACTAGCTTTCTGAAGGTCCTAATAGCATGATGTTCAAGAAAATTGCAAACACACCAAATAACTTACCAAAGGTTCAACCTCCAAGATTTCAGAGTTCAAACTAACTGCCTGACCCACATCTCCCGCACCTGCAAGCAAATTTAACTGGGATTCCTTCTCATGCAAAGTCTTCTTGAGAGTTTCTTCTTTGCGAGTCAACTCATCCACTTTACTCCTTTCTGCTTGCAACAACTCATCCCTATTTTTAGCAACCCCTCGAAGGTCCTCCAGTTCAGATATCATAGAGCTAATCCTCTTATGTATTATTTCCTTGTATTCAGGCACCTGACTATGCTTTGTATCAAAATGAGGATCAGGTAAGCCAACCTGAGGGACAATCGATTCAAACCAAATCAGAAACTCATTTATCTCATCTGAGTCTTTTTTATTGCCAATTTGTGATGCGGCAAGAACATCATTGGTGCATCTTGTGACTTCTTGTCTTAAGAAGGAAATCTCAGAATCCCGATCTTGTAGTTGTGATTGCAGCTGTTCAACCTGGTTAATAAGACTTTCTGATAGGGCACGAAGCTCATCAAACTTGCTCACGGTGATGGAAAGCTTTTTCACAGCCTTTCCATGAGAAACTTCAAGGTTCTGTAAATCTGTGTTCTTCTGTTGCAGTACTTTTTCCAGTTCCTCAATCTTCTTCGTCAACTCTTCCATTTGGACCTCCTCCTCATCAAGTGCTTGCATAAGGGCTTCAATTTCTGTCAGTGAAGAGCATTCACAAATGAAGATTCCAAAACAAAATAAATATGCAAGGAAAATATAAAGTAGGATTCAAACAATGAAACATGCCTTTGTCTTTCGACGATAATACATTTGTCAGTGATTTGATTCTATCCTGCAATTCCACTGTGTTGGCTTGCACATCCTGCAGTTCTTTTACTCTTCGCTGCAGTGAAGTTTGTTCTTCCCTCATTACTTCCAGTTCTTTCTCCAAATCATACACAAGGGTTTTTGAGGATTGAAGATCTCGTGAGTAATTCGCGGCAGACGCTTCAGCTAACTTGATTTGATCAACAAGCTCCATGCATATCCTCTCTTTCTGGATATCCTTCTCCTGAAGCTCTTTCTGCAAAGTTGCTATGGTCATTTTCATTTCCCTTTGGCTTCCTTCAGTAATCTCTGCTTTCATATTCAAAAAATCTTTCACTGTTGAAAAAAGTTTATCTGCCATAGTCTTGATATTTTCTTCAGAGGCAACACTATTTTGTCCACTGAAAGAAAGTACTCCAGCTGATATTACAGGCTTCCTGTTAGTCACCAGATCTGCAGCAGCCAAATTATTTCCTAACAGCTCGGCATTTTGATTTTCAATCTCCAAGACAGAATTAGAACATGCTTCATAAAGCAAGGCAATGTTTCTTCTCAGCACAACAATCTCCATGTCTTTCTCTTTCCCAACTGATTCTATATGCATAATGTTTCTCTTCATAGCTTCAAATGATTCTGTCATAGAATTTCGTTCTCTGCACAAGATCCCCAATACATTCCATATCCCATGACCTTTCTCTTGCAATGATTTTGACTGCACAATCAACTTTTCTTTCAGTGCAGTAATTTCAGTTCTCAAATCTTGCAGGTGATGCCAGATTAAACCACAAACTTCAACTATTGCATTGTCATCCAAAGGGTCCTGCATATTGACAGCTGGCCAAGTATCCACAAATTGAATGTTATCCTGAAGAGGAAACCAAGAAATAAAATAAAATTAACATCCTATTCATGAAATACCCCAAAGAGACAAAATGTGATTACTTTTTTGGCCAATCAAAAGGTTTTTTGTCCAATATAGTTTACTTGCATGTAACTCAAGGAGAAAGAAAATGGTAGCAATACGGGAAGTACTACCAACAATTGGTTGCAGAAGGAAAATACAAAAGGAACATGACAGAGACAAACCACCATGTTTCCCGAAAATGGCATACCCCAAACTGAAAGCACAAAGGAAAGACGAGTCATATGTTACCTTGTCCTGTAAATTACTGGATGTACTGTACGGTGAGCCAGACACATCTTGGGAATCACCCCCTTCGACGCATAATTTAATGTTAACCTCCAAATTTTGCAGAAATTCCAAGTCCTTTGAGAAAACATTAGATAATAGGTTATGAACATCATTGACACCCTTACTCAGAGCATTTATACTAGATTGAAACATCATTAATTCAGAATATTGTTTGCTTCTTTCTTCAGAGTGATTTGTAGATAACTTTTCAAGACGTGAGAGAATTTCAACTTTTGCAGCCTCTGAGACATCCTTTTCTTTAATGACTTCCGTAAGTTCACTGGAAAGTTTTGCTACATCTTCCTGAAGAGTGTCGTTTCTCTCTTGCACTTCATTCAACTCTGCAAGCAGTAGCTCAGCAGCTCTCTTTGACTTCCATGACTCTTGTTCTGAAGAAGCTGCAGCTGCACGCAAATCTTGGAAGATTTTCTCAATTCGTCCCAACTTCTCTACTGGATCAAAGATATTAATAATTTCACCACCAACATCAATGTCAGCTATTGCATTTGATATCCTGCTCAAAATATGCCCTTTCTCCTCCAACATATGCTCAGTTTCTGACAGTTGGTTCCTCAGGTACAAACTATCTGCTTCTAAGGCTTTTATTCTTTCAGGGTAAACAGAGGAGTCCCTCATCTTCAATTCATAATCAGCCAGAGCATTTTCCCGGTGGCTGAGCTCAGATTTCATGCATTCCAGCTTGACATTCATCTCTTCAATGGTTTTTTTCAGACTATCCCGCTGCTGCACCAAAGATTTCCCTTTTCTAACAGCAACATTTAATTTTTCTCTAAGAGAAGCCGACTTCTGCTCTTCTTGGTTCAGGAGCTCTTGCAATTCCTGCCTTTTTGTTTCAAGTGTTTGAACTTCAAGAAGCAAAGATTGATGCTTCCCAAAGATTTCATCTCTTTCCTCCTTTCGCTTGCATCAATTCATGCAGCATTGCCTCCAGCTCTTTCTTTAAAGAAGCTACATCCTCCTCAGTATTCAGTGTGTGTCTGCTTTGAGCTTCATCAAGGGTTGCATCACCTGGCTTGGTCTCCACAAGTTCAGGACACAGAGACTTGAGATTAGCATAATTCTCTATAAGCTTCTTCAATAATCCTTCCAAGCATGCAGTACTACTGCCACCTGAAACCAAATCTTCAGCATCAGCGTCCTGTAATACATCAGAAACTAAGTGCTGCAATCTCCTTATTTCACCATCCATCTCAAGAAGATGTTCCTCCTCCTCAATCCTCTTAACCAATTCTTCTTGCAAACTAGTAACTCTAATATGAAGTTTTTCATTCTCAACTTCAAAATGAGCTGCCTTTGCCAAAAGGTTATGATGATTAGAAGTTGTAGTCTCCAATCTTTCAGAAAGCTGATCCCTCTCAAGCATAACTGATTGAAGGTCTGCCTCAAGACTAGATACTCTCTTTTCTGATTCTTCCAAATCAGTAGCTAGTGACCCACTATAATTTTCAAGACTATCAATCTTCTTCTGCAAAGAATTTCTTTCATGATTAGCATCTGAAAGAGCATCCCTCTCCAGCATAACTGATTGAAGGTCAGCCTCAAGACTAGATACTCTATTTTCTGACTCTTTCAAATCAGCAGCTAGTGACCCACAATAATTTTCAAGATTATCAATCTTCTTCTGCAAAGAATTTTTTTCATGATTAGCTTCTGAAAGTGCCACTCCTAACCATTCAATCTTTTCTTCAGGTTCCATGGACCGCAATTGTGAAGGCATATAGATTCCATCCAAAAGTTCCTCCCATTTTTGCACCAAGTGGTTCCTCTCCATTAAGGACTGTTCCAGCATTTCATTTTGTTCTGCCAACCCACAAAATTTGCTCTGAAGGTCCTCATATTTTTTTCTCAAGTCCTCCCCTAATGTTGAGCCTTGTTGAGCATCTTCTTTCCAGGTATCCACAGAAACAACACCTGCATCAGAATGTAAACCTCCTATTGAACTTTGTTGTTCCCAATCAGTGGGAGGCAAAGAATTACCAGCGGTGCACCTTGCTAGCCAATCAACCTTTTCAATAATATCTCTAGAATGAAAATGTTCAGGCAGATCCAGTTCTTCTAAAATTTCTTCAATTCTCTGCAGTACGGAGTCTTTGAGAAGAAACGATTCTCTTAATGCAGTAGCTGAATTGCGAATGTATGAAAGTTCAGATTCCAGAGCATCCACACGCTCACCTGCCTCTGAGTAAGTATGCAGTTTTATTTCTAATTCCTGAATCCGGGCATCTTTTGCTCGTAATTCCTGAGAGCATTTCTCTAGTTCAGCAGATGTCTCTACAAGTGACTGCTTAAGGGCATCACGCTGAACAACCAAACCTTTTCCCTTTGCCACAGCTATGCTAAGCTTTTCCCTAACAGAAAACTCGCTGCTCTGACTGTTCAAGTTCACTTATTTTCTGTTGTAACTCAGAATGTGCAGTCACAAGGACTTCCTTTTCCTGGAGCAGGCTCTCTTTCAGTGTGAGGATTTCCAGTTCCTGCTGAAGCCTCAATGAATCTAACTGATGTATCTTTTCCTCTAATTCTGTCAATTCAATCACCTTAGATCCAGACTCCTTTTTGCAATCACTTGCCTGCTTAACAAGTTCTTTGTATTTCTTAACAAGCAAACAAACTAACAATTCAAAGCTGGAAGCAGGCGCTTTATCTGATTCAGTTCCATAGTCTTCCAGTTCTACAACATTCGCAACATGTTCTATAAGCTTTTGAATGGTATTTGAATCAAGGCATTCTCTGCTCATTTCCTCGATGTCTCTTGTCCTATTCATCAATTCTGAATTAAGCTGCTCATTAACAGACAGGAGATGTAGCCTTTCACCCAAAACATTCTCCAGTTTTTCAATGAAGATTGTATACTTACTATAATCTAAGAGATCGGGAAGCTCCTCAACTTGTGGGTTTATCTGAGCCTCACCCAATGCGCATGAATCAATCACAAGTTTCTTTAGGCCATTGTATATATCCTGTAGCATCCGTGTCAGAAATTCGTTCGTCCTGAGCAAATCATTATACTTCTCATTCACTTCTTTGTGTGAACTAGATACTGCATCATGACCTGCATGAGCTGCTTGTAGTTTCTCCTGCAGATCTTGGATTGACTTAATGGCAGAATTAACAGATGTCGCAACCTGGCTACTTGTATATAAAATATCATTGCTGTTATTTGAGAAGCTAGAGTTGGAAACCCTCCCAACATACTCATCAAGCCTCCCGACTGTTTCAACAATCTGAGTAACCTGAGATTTCCATTCTAGTTCAAATGTCAAAGCCCTCTCAGATGCTTCCTTCTGTGAACGTTCTAACTGTTGAATCAAATCAGAAGCCATCTCATCTGACTTTTTCTGTAGATCAGAAAAGTGACCCTGCATTTCTGTAAGTCTCAACTGATACTCACTCAATTTCTGAGAAAGCTCAGCATTTTCTGAACTACAGCCACTTTCTTGCTTCTTTAGAGCTTCATAAAGAAGCTCAAGTTCATTGTTCTTAGCTTCAATTAAAATTGCATGCTGCTTAGTAGCTTCATATAGAACCTCCAGCTCAACGTTGCTTGCTTCAAGATTATCACTGTATTCCTTCAAAGCTTCATGTAGAACCATGAGCTCCCCAAATGTCAAATTAACAGATTTTCTACGATCCCTCTCTCCTCTATATAAGGAACTGGCATTATCAGCATCCTGAACCATAAGCTTAAGTACTGCCCTCAGATCTTCTGTCATCTCCTTAGTAGAAATAAACAACAGGTCCCCCAGCGATTGACATTCAATCAAACCTCTTTCCTCAACCTCAGCTTCATCATGAGGCATCTTTGACTCAAAGGCTTGAATTAGTTTCGATACTCCGGGCACAGCTACTTTACTGTTGGACCGCTGTAATGACACTGAGTGGGAGTGCATCTGTTCAATTGCCTTTCCAAGGTTTTGAAATATTCTTTCAGCCTCCGTCAAGTGTTCCTTCAAGACTAGAAAACCAGAACAATCATCAAATATTTCCTGCTCAAACAGCTCAAGTGACAGCCCACCAGCATCAATAGGTAAGGCTTTCTCCAATATCACAGTGGATAATTCAGGATCTCGCTTCCAAGGGATCTGACAGCAATGTTCATTTTCAGTAGCATTTTCATGAACCCCACCACCCACTTCCAGATTTTCTACTTGAATCCCAGCTTCAACATTGCGGGTTTCCCTACTATCAATTTCTGCAATCCTGACCCTGTCTGCATCTAGACTGGCATTGAGTAAACTATTTTCCTCCATTAGTTTCTCAAGGCGTACTGTTACTTCTTTTAGCTCAGCCTCAAGTTGCATGTGTTGCCCATGTTCTGTAGCTAACTGCTCCTGAAGAACATGCAGCTCAGAAGCAAGTCTCTTGTTCTCATGGAAAAAATACTCCTTGTCCTCCTCAAGCTTCTTTCTCTCCTCTGTAACTAAAACAAGGTTCCCATTCAAGTTGGACTTCTCATCTTGTAAAGCCTGAAGTTCAGACTTGCACTCTCCTAGCTCATCTACAAGGCATGCATTCCTCTCAAGAACCTTGTTGATGGAAGAGCGAAGCACGGATATCTCATCAATAAGCTGCAGACAACGTTGATCGGATTCCATATGAAGATCAGACTGCTCAGCAAGCTGCAAGTACGATATATCTTTTGTATAAGTTGTGAGATATAATTCCTCTTTCACTTTCTCAAATAAACCAGGATGGTAATATGGTGCTAAACTATCAGGCCCAACATCTGCGGTAGAAACTAATACTTGCAAGTATAGCAGATGCCTATATTCATCTTCATCCAGACTTCTTATCACCTCTACCAGCTGAGATAGTCTGACTGGTGAACCATCTCTGAGAAGACAGGGTCGGATCTGATAAGCTTGCCCGTTTTGTCAGATGAGATCTTTCATGACTATCATCCCGAGACACAAAGGACCCCTTAGGTAAATGTTGCTGTTTTTCTTCTGAAGTCTTGTCATCACCATAATCAACAGATGGAGAGCACATTTCTTGTTCTTCTTCAACATGTGAACAAGATATTACTCCTTCAGCATGTTTATCTGTCAACTGATAATTAGCAGCCAAACTTTCATCTGCCTGGGAACTGCAGGCAACCGCGGTAGATAGAGATGCATCATCTAAACTGATGGACTGTTCTGCCTCACTGGATTGCCCCTCCACACTAGTTACTTCTGAAATAGCCCCTTCAAAAGGTTTAACACAGTCAACATGCTCGGACAACGGAAGTTCACCATCAACTTCAAACTTTCTTTCACCACTTCTATCAAATTGGTTCAACCCCAAACCATCAGCTTCCTGCATTGACCCTACCCAGCAACAAACAAGAACTTAATTATTCATCAAACCATACATAACTCATCCGAAATTTACCCAATGCAATCGCTTAACACAGTATATGAGAAAAGAAATTAAAAACTATGTACCAAGTGAAGAAGAGCACAACCTACATCTGTACCTGATGATCTTCCCTTTGCTTGAGATAAGGACATATCAGGAAAATCTTGTGAAAACAGTGGATTGTGCCCTATTTCCTTGTTAGCATCTTCCAAATCTAGTTTAACCACTGTCCCTTCTATGGCAACAACTGACGTAGATGGATGTGGCAGAATACCATGTTTTCTTCCCCCTTCAGAAACCGATTTATCTGCAGTTGAGGAAGGTATTTCTGTGCTCATCATACTGTTAACACACGGGGTACTTTCCCCTCCATTAGAGGCTGAAGAATCAATATCACGTTCACCAAGGGCTACAACCTCAGTGGGTACCCAGCATTATGGGGTACTACAGTTTCAACATTTCCTGCAACAGATATAGTAAGCTCTGGTGATGAAACAACTGCAGTAGAATAAAGCCCAGAAGGCAGTAAACTCTCTGACGACTGTGACACATCCAAGTCAACGGCAGTAGATTCCCCTTCAGAGAACTGTGGCGGGACTGTTGGTTTGGAAACAGAAGATGCTGCATCAGCATCAGATTTGTTGGATTTTCTGGAAGACTTTCCTCGACTGCTACTTCCTTTACCATCCTTCTTCTGGCGAAATTGTTGAAGCTGAAAAATATGACATTAAATGATATATTAACCAAACCTACCTTAAAAACAGACAAAGAACTTGCATCTCATATGCTAAAAACAAAATGGCTATACTAGTAAATAAAGGAAACTAAAACACCAAAACTTAAAATCCTATGGAATGTTCAGAATATGAAAGACAAATTTGATTTTCTTCAGCTCTTTTCTTTTTTTTAAAAACACTAAACTAAACATGGGTTGACGAAACACTAGAAATCAGTTGCCAGGGTGGTAACAAATCAAAATCAGTAGGACCATGATGGCGAACAACGGAATTCCTACCTCAAAGAAAAATATAATTGTTGAAGAGAAAGAACATAACCAGACAGCCAATCCAATTGGTAAAAAGGAGATCAAAGCCCAAAATCAAGGATGAAAAAGTAAATATAATGGAAACCTTTTGACGTCCGGCGGCGAGCAGATCAGTACGATTCATGCTCTTGTCCATCCGATCTGCTCCTTTTTTCTCCCACTCTGGTGACTCCGGAAATCAAAACCAAGACTCAACTACCATCAGGATCTCCCTCTTAACTACGCCCACAACAAACAATCTTGAATGAAAATAACGAAAACAATTACTATCAATTTATATAAACATTGAATCCACCAATAGGCTCAGTGTTCGACCATGTCAGTTGAAGGTTGTTGAAAGTACATACGTATGTGTGTAACTTTAATGGGAAAATTTAGCAAGATGAATAACTTAGTTTGGTTTTCTTTTCCAACATTTTCAAGTAACCGAAAATAAAACAGAATCGTCAATCCCAGTATTCAAAAAATAAGCTGCTAAATATTCAAATCCTGAACCAGAAAATCACAAAGAAGGCAAATTTGATTGATGGCCAAAAAAATGTTGAGAGATTTCAATATCAATACCTGAAATTTCCGTGCTTCGCAAAATGAATTACTTAATTGCCTTTTCTTTTTCTAACATTTTTTCAAGAAATCAAAAATAAAACAAAAGCCTATATAAATTCAAAAAAGAAAGAACAAAATATTATAATCCTGAACCAGAGAATCATAAAAAAAAAGACAAATCTGATTGCCGACAAAAATAATTGTTGAAGGATTGCAATAGCAAATACCTGGAATTGCCGCGATCTGGTCGATAACGTGGCGCCGTAGATGAGGTTTTTTTGGTACCGAATTTTGCTTCAGATTTCGTAAGTTATGCGAACTTGTGCGGGTGCCTGTAATTTGTGTTCGTATATTTTATTTTATTTTCTTTTCCCACTTAGATCTAAAGCAAACTTCTGCATCCTTGTGTAGCTGAAATGTCCAACTCCGATAACTTTCGCGGCTTGCTTACTTGCCTGCAACGTTTATGTGCTGGATTTGGTTGATGTTGAAACCCAGATTGACGGCAATGGCCCAATAGAGCTAATATTCGTGTCCAAATCATCCTCTTAAAGAGCTTCGATCCCAAAATCTGACGGTTGAAGGCCCATTTAAGGATGGCATATTCGGATTAGGATGGTCTAGCATTAGACGAAAAGCCCGATTACTTGACTAAAAACATGTCCCTACAAAAAGGATAGTATCGAAATCTCATCTTAATATTTGATAAAATAATTATCTTGAATCTTATTTTTTAAATAATTAATTTATATTTTAAACAAATATTAAACTAATACTAATTATATATAAACAAATAAATAGTTGTTTAATTTACTGTTTTATTTCTAAATGAAATGAAAAATTAATATTATTATTAGAAAATCGGTCGAGAAACAAGTACCTATGCTAATTGAATTGCTCTCCTAGTAAACAATAAGGCTTTTAAGGGATTAATTGGAAGCAAATTTTGAGTATACACGTAGAGTTTAAAAAACAACCAAATCAATTTATTTATTTATTATTATTATAAAGTTTATTAAGACTGTTTATTAATTATCAATTTATTGAGCCATAAAAGGTGTTTAGATTAAGTGGTTTCGGCAAAGAGAATGTTGTTTTTCTTAGAAAAATCGGATTCAAACAACTGTATCTACAAATGGTGTATACATTATCAATAATTAAAAAAATTATAAACAAATATTGTCTTATAAACGTTTAATATACCTTAATATACTTTAAAAAGTCATTAAAAAGAACATCCCTAAAATTAAATAGAGGAAAAAGAGAGCCTTAAGTCAGTTGATTATAAAAAAAATTGATTAATTTCAAACAGACCATTCAATATACCTCAATTAACTGTTAACTGATGACAATGTTCTAAGGTAGCTTCTGTCTCAAAGCCATCTTTTTTTCTCTTGACGAAGTCAGTGGTAAGTGAAACTAGAATCTTTATTCTCAATGGTAGATTATACCAATTGTCACTAAACCATTGAGTTTATTTTATTTTGACCACTAAACTAAAAATAGTATAAATTTTATCACTAATGTTACAATTTAGTAACAATCTAGTCATTATTCGTTAAACTAATAAGTAATAATCCAGAATTGACATATCTATTTCTAAATTAATAACATTTGTAAATTTTATAATACTAAACAATTCAATAAATTTAAATATATAAATTTTAAGATAAATTATTTATTTAGTCACTCATATATATATTTTCTATGACGGATGACTAAAATAAAAATTACAATATTAAATATAATTTAAAAAAATAAATGATCAAAATAATAAATAAATGACTAAATATATAATTTACTCTAAATCTTATCTACTCAATTCTTATAATTGTGAGTTTATGTGTGTGATTTTTTTTATTGCCCTCCAGTTCCTAGGCTTCGCCCTGATTAATATGGATCAACCTGGGTCGCACACCTGATTTTGGTGGGTGAGTCACCCATCGGGGATTTTCTGCATACACAATGACTCGAACCTGAGACATTGCTTAAGCGATATCAAACTGCTTACCACTTGAATCAATCCCGTTGGTTAGGTGTGAGATTTAGTCTAACTAAAAACTCGAAAATTGTAGGGTTTTGTTGAGGAAAAAATGAATGATGAAGACTATTAGTATGTGTTTATAAAAATTTAAAATTCAAACTGTTATTTAACATTTGTAATAATTTTGTTAATGTTATAAGAATTTATTAAGTTAATTTGGTGGTTGAGTGTTTAGCTTTGTTCCTAAAGGTATTTGGTATGAATCTCATAGAAAGAATTATTTTCCATCAACAAAATGACATCGTTTTGAGCTTTTTGAGTATCAAAACGATCGTGTCAAAACGACGTTGTTTTGATGAGGGAGTCACGTTATCGCGGTCATAGAATGGAGATGTCATGTCGTCATCCCATTAATGAATTAACAACGGATGACATAATTGTAGTTAAACATAAACATTATTATTAAAATTGATAAAATTAAAACCATAATGACATAAATGACTCCAAAATTAAAAATTAAAAATATTTGAAGTAGTTTATTATAAAAAAAAAACCAAAAAAAATTACACTCAAGGATAAAATAGATTATTGGTATTATTTGAAGAAAGGGCATAGGTTTGGTAACGGATAAGCATAGGTAGGGATAATTAAGATGACAGGGCAGCCATGGGTCATTTCTCAAATTGACCGAACTGCATCCAATTATAAATCTATTAAATTAATTGATCAAACCCAGGCCTTAGAATATCTGCCTGCCAACAGGGAAAAGTCCACCATCCGCAAGATTATTATATTGCCAGTTCTTGTCCAATTTCTTTCTCAATTTATCATCCGCTCCTTTATAAAAATTAACTAATGGAATTAATTTAATCGACAGTCAAATTCTTGAATTTGGTGTGGGGATGCTTCTTCAAAGTTTATCAAGTTATTACGTGATCATTACCATGGACAATAATGTGCTTAATAATCAATGGCACTGATCTTTATAAAATTCAGTTTTTATTGTGTACGAATTCAACCATTAACACCCACCACGTTAACTTGTCACAGATTTTATAAAATCCTATCTTGCAATAAAAGGATTTTAATTTTACGTCGTGCCAATAATTTAGACGGATAAATTATTTAATTTAACCGAACAGCTTAAATTTTATTTCGAAATCTATAGTATTTATTAAATAGAGGGTGGCGATAAGTTTCAAAATAAAATATTTTTTATTAAAATTTGTTAATCATAGTAGCAATTATAAATTTGTGGGCCACCCCCCAAGTAATTATTCCACGTGGAGCATTGATCTAATTTTGCCTTTACTTCATGGTTCAAGTGTTAGGTTACGAGATGTTATTTATATGAGTGAAGTACATATAATGTGTTATTTTATTAAGCCGCTTAATTATTGAAAGTTATAAAATGTTCATTTCATTATAGGATGTGCATTGTTGAGTACTTAAACTATATAAAGTTACAAAATTATCATTCAACTATTTATATGTTCTAAATCTTTTTTTTTAAAAAACTAACTTTCATCTGATCTGGACGTTAACATGCTGAATGTTTGAGATTATATGATCAAATTTTATCATATGTCATTTAGTAGATTAACGTTAAGCTCAGGCTACTGTTAATTTTTAAACAAAAAAAATACTAGTTTAAACATATGAATAGTCTAGTGATTTTTGTGTAACTTTTAATAGTCAATGAACTCAACAAAACAACTCTATAGTCGAAAGACCATTTTATAATATTTAATAGTTGAATACTCAACAAAATAATATCATATTATTAGGGATCAGTCGTATACTTTACCATATTTATACTTTATTATTAATTATTTATGAATGAGTTGATGTCGTAATTAATGAATATAAACTTAATTGATTTAAACATTATTATTCTAAATATAAATTATAGATTTTTAAATATTATTTTATATGATTGAATTGAAAGGATTATAGATTTTTTTTTTAAAAAAAAAGAGAGAATGTGGATATAGTACACACTTGGATTTTTTAAATAATGTTATCAAATTTATTAAAGTGTAGACTTTATTTCATACAAATTGATTACAAATATTCCACCGAAGATAAGTTTTCCATTAATAACGAATAATACGGCTTTAGTTCCATGATAAGATGTTGAAAGGTGTATATTAAGAAGGTGTCAACCCGCGTACTAAGTTCTTAGCCTCCCCTATTTCGCCGGCGGCACATATTAGCGTTAAACCTCGCCCCTTCCTTTCTGTATAACATATGGTTACGTATACACTATATATAGCATAACATCGTACAAATGAAAAGCCATTTTTATATTTTATCCAACCTAACCTAATCTCATTTTAATACTATCCCTTGTCGTGTTTTCTTGTTTTGTTTATCCATCTCTCTCTCTCTCTCTCTCTCTCTAACTAGCTAGGAGCTGAAGAGCTTTGCTTCCCTCTTAAGAATTGACTATCAAATAATGGAGGGACTATAGATAAATACCCTTCTCCTTGTTGGTCCCCTGAGGGCACTTCATTGTTTTATCCTTCTCATCTTTTTCTTTGTTTCTCTCTGAGGACAAAAAGGGCTGAAGAAGTGGATTTTGTGGGGGGAGAAATGGAGGTTCTCGTGGGCCTCACGTTCGGCATGGAGGCCGCTACGTCGGCGGCGGCTACGGCGACGTTTGTTAGAGAGCGGCAGCCTGAGGAGAAGAATAAAGGCTCCTCCTCTTGCTTTTTTCTCAAGGAGGATGTCGACGTGTCATCGGAGAGTTCGCCGTCGATCGGATCGTCGGGAGGCAGCGATGATGAAGAGGAAGACGACGTAGTTTCATCTATGGCAAGTGGAAGCTTGGGATCGTTGGGTTCTCTAGAGGATTCTCTTCCGATCAAGTTAGCATCTCTCTCCATCTCCTCTTTTGTTTTTCAAAACTTTTCGCTCACTTCGTCAAACAATCTGTTAGATGGAATATCTTAAACTCAAATTGGATCCAATCTTTTGATAGGAGGGGACTGTCGAATCACTATGCGGGAAAATCAAAGTCATTCGCGAATCTGTTAGATGTAAGCACGGTAAAAGAAGTGGAAAAAGCTGAGAATCCATTCAACAAAAGGAGGAGGATTTTGCTTGCAAACAAACGGTGCAGGTCCAGGAAGACATCTTTCTATTCATGGCAAAACCCCAACTCCATGCCTCTTCTTGCTCTGAACGAAGACGATGAAGAAACGCCATCAACATCGTCAAATGATGATAACCCGGCAACAATAAAATCTGAATCGCAGCAAAGCGAGCTCAAGGTCACTCACAAGTCGCAGAGTTGTTTTTCTTTAACAGATCTACAAGTACAAGTTGAACCTCAATAGCACTTCTTTTTTAAACATCAAGATGCATGCTTCATGTTAGTTTATATATGGTTAAGGAAATATATTATCAGAAATATTAATTTTTTTAATATTTTTCG